ACAATTCTTCATGGTTTTCTATAGAATTTGTTGCAGATGTTACAGGTAATTTACAAAATAAACTAGGTCAAAATAAAGGTCCTGACATAAACTGAAAATCTGCAGTTTTTCTCTCCTCTTACTACGACCACAACCACCACTACTCAATTCATTTTGAGTGCTGGGAAAGAGAAAATAGAGTTAAGATGGACAGAAAGGTGAGATGAAGTCAGAGTTAGAGTAGCTTTGAGTTTAAAACAAAATAGAGAACTTTTAATCTAAACTCCCTTCTGCCCATCTCAAGAGTAAGGTCAAGCTTTAAGAGCGTCATACTTTTTAACATTCACATTTCAATTAAGCCATACTAAGTAAACAAGGTTGTTTAATGAATAATAAAAACCTTCAAGATGGACTGACTTGAATGGCTTGAAAACTCCGAAGATTCATCTTTAATATCATCTTGTCGTCTTTGGACAAGGCGTGAAGCTCGCTGTTTGTACAGCTGGTGCATTGCGGACTCAAGCTCGTTAATCAGAGGCACCTGTAAAAATACAACACACTACGTAATACCAAATCCGTCAGGTGCTTAGTTTTCTGGGGTGCCATCCTATTCCGAAGCGTAACGCTGTCACTGTACTTCTAGCAGCATAAACTCTTTTCTTTTACTCATTTGTATCGTTTGGACCAGTAAATCTTTCAACTCGAAGGAAAAGCATGCATTTAACAACGTGGATAGCTCTCAACGGCAGCAGTAACGTCCCAAAAGTAATTTCTGTTGACGGAATGAGTCTGCACAGTACGACAATCGTTTCAGAGACTGCAAAATATAATTTCAAGTACTCTTTGGGATTTTCTGAGTGCACTTAAATATTGTGCCAGGCTAATACTTACAATTCACAGACCTCATTACTTCCACTCTATTCTTAAACCAGACATTAGCAATATTCTGTTAGTTTAATGAGAAAACAGCCCGATTGTATGCGGTGGAAAAAACCCAAGGCATAAATCTAACCTCCTGAAGCCAATGGGTATGGTTTTGCTACAGCACTTATTAGCACATTTGCTACAGCACTGGTGGCATAACGTGCCTATGCACTTGTTTTACTAAATTTCAGTAAAGTTTTCCTCCAGTCTACCATTAAAATCAACTCACAGGAACTTTATAATTTTAAGCGCTAAGTACATACTTAGAAAGATACAGACCTAAGTTAAAATCAGATCTGCTATCCTTTATTATTATCATTTTAAGTGAATGAAATTTCAATAGTAACTGTAACAAAAAATGTACTATAGTAATTGGAAATTTCTGGACGTTAGTAGATTCACTGCTCACTTTTGTAGATTCATTTCTTGGGACAAGTTGAGGTTAGATCATTACAAATATTTAAATGTAACATGGAACTTTTCATTTGACTCTTAATTTGGAGACCAAATCCTGTAACTTTTTTTTTCTTTTTGTACAAATACCGATGCTGTGTCCTCCTTACCTCCAAGACATACGTTTAGTCATTAGTCTTCCATTTTTTTAGCTCAAATATTTCATTCCTGACTACCATCCTTGACTGCGTTTTTTTAAAAAACAAACAAAATCATAAATTGCTTACTGGTCCCATTTAGAACATGATATCAGTAGTTAAGAAAAATTCCCCTTTGGCAAAATTTGAAATTATGAGATTAAACCTGCAGTGCCATTTCAGCTATTCAAGAATGACATACACATCAGAGGAGATATTAAAAGCAAAGAATTATCAGTTCTTTGGAGTATAAGTTGGATTACAAGAAGGGGGAAGGG